CCATATTCTGTTTAAATATTGTTAAATGAGTGTAAAGTGAGTCATTCGACACATGGAAATGGCTTGAGTACACACTTTATGTCCACGAGACTCAGCCATTTGGTTGACATCCATCGCCAGTATTTACTATGCCATGTATCCATCTCCTGATCGATGTTTTACAACTACCATTTATCAGCTCCTGTTCTAACATAGAGGACTGAATCCACACCAACACTTCTTCAATGTCAGAAATATTGTGGCACAAGAAACAGATTCAAATATTACTAAATATAGTAATTAACCTAATAGTATATGGTGAAATCATATAATCAAACATAGAACTTATTTGTTATATTTGGTGAAGGATGCACACAATGATGCACTAGAACTGATCATATAGTCGACATCATTAATTAGTGACACTGTCACAGGCAATGCGTGTGCCACCCTCAAGCTTATAACTTCTATTCTGATTATAATTAATAGCCTTATTCTCATGTAAATTGGTTTTGGCTGCAAAACTTTATTTGTTCATATTTGTGTATAGTGATTTAACATTTTAATCTTTGTTAATGCATATAGTTTTGTATTTTGAGGGTCAGAATGTTATTGTAAATGGATCTTTTTATGAAGAACCCTAAAGTGTGTTAAAGAACATTTGGAAAGTTTGCCAGCCAGAGACAGAAAATCGTATTATCTTGTAAACTACATTTTATCTGTTGACATTCGATGGAAATGTGCGCGTTCCTGCAGCCTATTGGGCGTTACCCGATCATTGCTGCTTGCAGCTATTGTTGCCACTTGAGGTGACCCAGTTAAATGTGGACGCATGCAGAATATGCACCTATAAATGTTAGACATTTTAAAACTTGTAAATGAAATATTACAGATTAAATTAATATGGTAAGATGATATTTCTACTTTTATTGATTGCCTTACATTTTTGTCTCACTGATCGAACCTTGATTCCAGTCTTCAGTCAGTGTTTAATGTTTGTTACTGTTTTGATTTTGATTTTGATTTGATTATAATTAGTCTACATGGATTTTCCGATTAGTTATAGTAGCCGTACTTTTCATATATGTTATGAAAACATGGTTATGTTGACTATTCAAATGACTATTCAAAAAACATTGTTAATTACAAGGATCCAACAGACTTAGTACTGAGGATTTGTTATCTGCATACAACGATATCATGCCCAGAGTTGTGGAGAAAACATGTGAAATCAAGCACATTTGTCATAAAGCAATTTTGTATGTAGTATCTGGGGATTGTTTATTTGAAGTGGATACAAAGTGTGGTAATGTATACTGGTGGGTGATACCCAACTGTTAATATGAGGTTATTACGAGGATACCTCAAAGTATGCACGAAGACAGTACAGTGGCAGTACCGACTGACGCGCAGCGACGGCGTACTGTCTTTGTGCATACTTTGAGATATCATCGTAATAACCTTATTATTATACATCTTTTCCTTCCAAGGATGCATCATGGGAATGCCGAAATCCAAAATGTTTAAAACAGAATCAGCGAACTTCTCTGTGTGGAGTCCGAACAAACTCTGGTGGCAGCCATGTTTGTTTTTATTATTAGAGGACACTTACGCGGGTAATCATTCCATATTCGCAATTCGCATTTCCTTAAATGGTAGAATGAAAATACCCCGTAAAATACCGCAAAATTACAGCACGCTGTAACTTATGCCGTTACGGTGACAGATGTATAATAATATGTTTTAATATTCTTAAATATATATTAATATATTCATCTTGATCCAATCATTCAAAAATACGCTAGTATAATTCCAGCATTATGTTCCAACAGTCAATTAATTTGTAAACTAGGTGACTGTTTGTTGAAACCTTGAGTATTTTACACCTTTTTATTTGTGCTGTGAAACCTGGTGGTCTAATAGATATCGCATATATTGTATAAAGTTTATTGACACAAAACTTACTAAAAGCACTATAAATTTGATCCTTTTGACCACCGTGTTTGTTAGTGGTGATATGTTGCTTAAATCCTCGTGCATAAAGTTTGGTGTCATTGTTGGGACGAATCATATGGTAGTCATTCGTTTATTTTATTGTATAATTGCATCAACAAACTGGAGATTAGGACAAACTGTCAAATGGTGAAGACGATGCACATGTTTTGTCAAACACCAATAATGTTCTGTTTTATTTATTACAACAAAACAAACAATTAGACTTTTGAAATTAACGCCATCTGAGGTGCATCTGGTGGCTATTCGTTTATTTGATTTCCATTACAACAATAGACTGAGAAGTTAGAAGTGACTGAGTGAATTATGATATACACAAAATGTTCAACCCGGAAATTAAATTTAATTCTAAATTTCTTTTTCGCAGCAAGTCTATTATGAAAATTTCGTCCAAACCACAAAGACAATAGATACTATGTAAACGTGGGGAAAAGGAAACAGTGCGTTTTATGCTAATTAGTCAGAAGTGTAGAAAATAACATCATTGGATCATACTGTGATTACGATTGTAATAATATTTTTTTTCTGTTGTATATTATGATAGTAACATTCCCCTGTATGTTGAGAGGGCTCTGTCTGCTCTGAATCATCCAGTATAATTGTGATTGATACATTGAATTCAGGTTATTCCAGTGTACTATTGATATCGTGAACTAACAATTGAAACATCTTTTACGATATTACTGTGTATTTAATTGTTTGCGAGCAAGTCTGATATTTTAATAATCCACATAGCAGGCATCGGCTGGCTTGTTTCAATATTGCAATTGAAAATGTGTTAAATAACCCACAACGAATACTAAGATTGGGTGTGAGACACAGTAGTTAAGTACGAAGCTCGGATGAAATTGCATTAAAGCACTGGAGTGTTCTTATGTAGTGTACTAAGCCATCTCACATATAGATATCATTCCAACTACACTCGGTCATTAGTCAATGTCATGTGGGAATGGAATACTGGTTTGGTGTATACTGTAATCTCCAAGTACATCAGATGCTAAGTCAGATCCACTAGAAAGGTTCCCCTGTTGACATAAAAACACCAATGACCTGAGGTTGGATAGTATGTATTCTAAGCTACTGTCCCCACCAGTTGGAATGCCACTGCATTGAGTTGGGTTACTTCTACATTGTGAAAACAACCCTGTGAACACCGAGCAGAGAAGTCCTTGAAATGTGTACGTCATTCCTTCTTTTTACCCCCCCCCTCCCCCAATTGGTTGGCTGTTTGAGTGCGTAGGTATGTGTGTTTAGGTATGCATCTCATTGTTTGACACGTTGTGTGGTAATAATAATTTTATTAACACTTACACATTCCCGGAGGGATTGGCAATGGTTACAAAAGTTTAAAAGGGAATAAAAGGTTACAAAACAGAAAATAGATAAGAAAAAAAAAAAAAAAAAAAAAAAAAAAAAAACCATTCTAACCTAATACTTTACAAATAAACCTAGTATAAATTATGATACTACAATAAATAAAAAACAAAAAGCAAAACTCAAATAGGGAAAAAAGGTTGTCACGGGGGTTGCTGTCTTATTTTAAAACACTTCTTTAGGTACTTTGCTACGGGAAGTGTTAGGCCACTGTTGTTTACCAAGTCTATGAATTGAGTCTTTACCGGCAAATTTTTAAAGTTTTGATTTGGGTTTTTGCTATTTCAAATAGGACATTTCTTTCGGGGGTATATCTTTTACATGACATCATGAGGTGATACTCATCTTCTACTTCATTTTTATCACAAAGGTTGCATAATTTCTATTACCAAGGGGTATTCCTTTGTGTCTGCCAGTCTCAATTTTCAAGTTATGGTCACTG